TCCGGGCTTACAAGTACCCCTCGGTCTCTTTCACAAGTCGACTTCTCTAGCTTATTTATTTAAGGCTGTATACATTGACAGTATTTGTTCTTCCAATATTAAATGCAGCTGCACTTGCTGGTGTTGAATTTCATTGCCATTTTCCAGACCACCCTTGCAGTTTATTTTGATCCTCCTGTAATGCATTTGCATCCTGCCCTGAATTAATCTGCCGCCTATTTTGGTGTCATCCGCAAACTTGCTTATGTCACTGCTGATCCCAATATCTAGATCGTTTATGTAGATTATGAACAAGTGGGCCCAGTACTGACCCTGGGAACCCCACTGGTTACACAGCCCCACTCCAGATTTAACACCATCTACGCTGACCCTTTGCGTTCCATCGGTGAGCCATGATTTTATCCAATTTAAAGCTTTCCCTCGATACCATGAGCCTTACTTTTCTCGAAGCCTCTGATGCGGTACTCTGTCAAATGCTTTGCTAAAGTCTAAGTAAATAACATCGTAATTTTCGTCATTATCACTACCTCGAAGACTTTCTAAAACGTCAGCAGATTTGTTTCAAGAATTTTCCTTTGTAAACCCATGTTGAGAGTCGTAGATTAATTTGCTTTTCTCTAAATGCGATCGGATGCTATCTGCTATAATTGACTCAAGAAATTTCCCCACTACTGACGTCAAACTGATCATTTGATAATTTAGCTCCTGTCTCCTTTTGAATAGGTTCTACATTTGCCTGTTTCACAAGTCTGGCACAACTCCGTGTCTAATGATTTTGTAAATAAATTTAGGGTCCACTAATCTGTTCCCTACACTCTTTCAAGACTCGAGAAAATTTCATCCAGCCCTGGGGATTTTGTCTTCTTTAGTTTATTTATCCTCTTAAAACATCCTCTTTTGTGATAGTGATATTCTTTAATTTCTCTTTTCCCCTAAATATCAGTTCCACCTCTGAAATTTCCTCAAGAATTTCTTCTGTGAAAACTGATAGGAAGTAGCTGTTCAATGCTTTGCTTATTTCTTCGCTGCCATTGATCAGTTCCCCCCTCCTGACTTTAAAGGCCCAAATTTGTCCTTGACCTTTGTCCTATATACCTGGAAAAATCCCTTGGGATTCGCCTTGGATTCTCTTGCTATTCTGATTTCATAGTCTCTCTTTGATTTCCTTACATTTTTCTTCACATTCCTAGATAGTTCATTATACCTATTTCTGAGCTGATCCTCACGTGGTCATGGAGACATCGGGTGGTGTGATGTTCACGTGGTGTGGTAACTCGTCTTCGGGTGTTGATATGAGGGACCTCACGTAGTCATGGGGACACCGGGTGGTGTGGGTGGCGTTACACAGTACTTCACTGCGCGGTGATGTTGTGTTATCCCGTAGTCAGGTGCACAGCCCTCTGTTGTTCCCAGGGTGGACGGATTAGCACCTCCTTGTCAGAAGATGGTGGTTAGTTCCCCGGGGTGCTTATCTCACTGGTGGGTCGTGGCTTTCACTGGTACTGTCTAGTGCTGAATTCACTGGCTTAAACACTGTTCATACTGTTCAACACTGATCCCACTTTTCGAAACAGAAATTGTCACTTATGTAGATATCCCTAGTCGTGAGGATGGGTCGAGAGAGGACTTGGGAATGGGCCGACGTTGGCCAGGGGGCAGCGCTGCATAACGAACAGCACCTGAATAGGTGCGTCTGACCTCTACCATGTCCAAAAACAAACCTCGGAGGCCTGGTAGTGAGTCCCTGACATAACCTGACCTGATAGTTGAGAACAGGTGTTGTATGATGGGGTCTCAGCTGGTGAAAGGGATAACCTACCCAGCTGGTTCATATAATGTTCCTTGTCACCACCTGCTTCCTGGGGGCTAAGGGGGGGGGGGGGGGAGGTTGGAGGAGAGGGGTGAGGAGGAGAGGGTGAGGGAGGAAAGGGGGTGAGGGAGGAAGGGGGTGAGAGAGGAAATGGGGTTAGATTATCTCTGCTTCCCTCCACCTATCCCCCCTCCCTTCCTCTACTCCCCCCCCCCCCTTCTCTCACTATGTCTCCTTAAGGTAAACACTCCTCACTTCTCCTCATTATTTCCTCCTACATAAACCTAAACCAATTATCTTCTCTTATTCTTCATTATTATTCTCTTTCATCTCTCATTTTCCTTCTCTTTTATCTTTCTCTCTCTCTCTCACCTTTTTATGATGTCAGAATGTTTGTTTGTCTCGTGAGAAACAGTTGAAATGTTTCATTGTTTGTGTTTGTTGTTGTTGTTGTTTATTGTGTTTTCATATTGTTGTGGTTTGTAGTCGTTTTATTGTTTACTTATTGTAGTGTTTTATTTTTGTTTTATCGTTGTTTTATTGCGGTCTGAACAGTGAGGCTGAAAGAGATGAAAACAATACCGTGTGTGTGTGTGTGTGTGTGTGTGTGTGTGTGTGTGTGTGTGTGTGTGTGTGTGTGTGTGTGTGTGTGTGTGTGTGTGTGTGTACACTGTAATAATTATTGTACCTGTGGTGTAATGGTCAGCATCCTAACTTCGTAAGCGAGCGGACCCGGGTTCGATCCCCGGGCAGGGTGAAACTATGGGCAAGTTTCTTTACACCATTTGCCTCTGTCTACCCAGCAGTAATTGGGAACCTGGATGTTAATCGATTTGCGGATCGTATTCCGAGGTAATGGTTAACCAGTGCGGTTGGCGAGTTGTTCGGTGTTCTCGGACTATTCCTTGACACTGGGTCATGCAGCTCGTTAACTTAGGGTGTGGTTGTTGTGTTGGCGACAGCTTCTACACCTTAAACAAATTCACGCCTAGGTGGTCCTAGGGCCGGCCATCCTCGTTACGTCATTATTATAGACTTACTAAATAACGTGCTAGATGAAACTCAGACATACATTTAAATAACAGCAACAAAAAACATCAACATCTCATTAAAAGAAAATTTCCTTCTTTCCAGAGACGAAGAGACCAGCTGTGAGACCCTCAAGAGCTACAGACCAACAGCAAGCACCTCAAGTTACCTGTAATCTACACCAACATACCTGGGAAGACAACCCACCTTACGTACGACAACTCGAGCACATATCAGGGACCAAGTTGACAGGAGAAAACTTAGATGGTCGTAAGTTAACCAGACGGATCTTATATGGTGAGACTCGGCCCTCCACACACACACACGGTCCATCACTCAGACGGAAGCCATGTATGAGAGGTCCAGGAGCCGTACAGGTGTGTCTAGTGTTGGTCCACTGATCCTCACACCTGTGGCCGAGCGTGAACACCTCCTGCTACACATGGAAATATCTAGTCGAGGCTGAAGAAGGAGGACTTTTGCTTGATCATTAGTCTTAAGGCTGGTCTTGAACACCTTTGATCTGGTCGTGAACACCTTTGATCAGACTTAAAGACCTTTCTATGGCTGTTGTTAATCCTCGACTGAACGTTTGTCATGAACCAAAAGGTGAAGAAGTGTGTGGTAAAAGGTAAGAACATTTACCCCTGAGTGAGAACATGTGGCCAAGTGTTACTCTGTGGCCATAAATGAAAGTATGAAGATCTGTGAAAATATTTAAGACTTTCGGTCACTTGTGGCAACCTAAGGCCAGAAGGAACAACTATTGAAACAAAAATAACGAAATTCAATATAGTAAAACACGAAGAAAAAATCAAACGAATAAATACTAAAAAAAATCGAAACTCATAATAATGCTAAACATTAAATTACAGTTAAAAGTAATAAAAATAAACTGTGATACAATTAAGAGCAGCAATAACAACTCCATGTTTTAAAAAAAATTGTAATATCCAAACTACGAGATTTTTTGTAATAATAAGTACAGAAAGAAGACTTGATAACACTGTACCATAACACAATACAGTGGCGGGTGTGAGAGTTTGGCCTCACCATAAGTTCCTACCAATCATATGACCTAAACCAATACCTGCGTCGACCAATCATATGACCTAAACCAATACCTGCGTCGACCAATCATATGACCTAAACCAATACCTGCGTCGACCAATCATATGACCTAAACCAATACCTGCGTCGACCAATCATATGACCTAAACCAATACCTGCGTCGACCAATCATATGACCTAAAATAATACCTGTGGCGTCGAGTGAAGTTTGTGTTAATTACTATACCAACACGAGGAGAAACATAAGGTAAATAAGGTATTCTCTACCTGTGTGTGTGTGGTGCTATAGGAGTGGTGGTAAAGAGTAAACACAGTATATGTCTTAACACAGGAGGTCAATGTACATAAGTGTTCAATGATTCGGTGTAAGTGAGACGAAGTGACGATTATATCACTTAAGGAGAGACAGAGAGACAAAAGAGACACACAGAGATAGAGATCGTTCTATAGTTCTCATAACCTTAAAATACTAGAAACTAAAACGAAGAAATATTGGCAGTTGAGTTACGTGAAAGGCGTCATAGTGTTTAATATATAAAGGAAAGGAAAATATTGTGTTTATAGAAAAAGGATATAATTAAAGTTTATTAAGATATTAGAACACACACACACACACACACACACACACACACACACACACACACACACACACACACACACAGCCATTAGATAAAGGTTCACAGATCAAGACAAAACTTTCCAACTTTAGACTCAAAATAAATATCGAACTGAAGGGCAGGAGGCTCTTGAGCCCCACCACCACCAGGGAACAACGAGAGGCTCTTGAACCCCCACCACCACCAGGGGGGGGAGTAACAGAGAGGCTCTTGAACCCCACCACCACCAGAGAGATAACAGGCTCTTGAACCCCCACCACCATCAGGGAGTAACAGAAATCCTTAGACTTCACCATCAGGGAGTAACAGGCTCTTAACAGACCCCACCACCAGGGGGAGTAACGAGAGGCTCTTGGACCCCCACCACCTGCAGGGGAGTAACGAGAGGCTCTTGGAACCCCACCACCCATCAGGGAGTAACAGGGGCTCTTGAGACTACCACCATCGGGGAGTAACAGGCTCTTGGGCCCCACCACCAGGGAGTAACGAGAGGCTCTTGAACCCCACCACCATCAGGGAGTAACGAGAGGCTCTTGAACCCCACCACCACCAGGGAGTAACGAGAGGCTCTTGAACCCCCCCACCACCACCAGGGAGTAACGAGAGGCTCTTGATTGTGTTGCACGAGACAAAAATCACATCTCTCACCACCCTAGAGACTCACAACTCATCACAACCACAACCTCATCGAATCTACAGCCAAAACATACCTCCAACACCCTCAACGAAGGAAGGACTAATTCTTCCCCCAAACACAACACCACAGAACACAGCCACAAGGGGAGAGAAAAGGATTCGTCTTTAATTAACACAACAAGACAACAACGACAAATTCACATCACTGTTGAAGATAAAAAAAAAGAGAGGAAAATAAATAACAATCGACAAAAAAAACTGAAACATTATCAGTATAGAGTGGACCAGTCAGCCAGTCAGTGAACCAGCCAGTCATCCAGTCAGCCAGTCAGCCAACCACAACAATGCTACAAGAGAGAACAGCTGGGACGCATCGCCACCTCCTCCTCTTCCTCCTCCTCCTACTACAACTACTATTCATGACAGGTAAGTAAACGACCTGAGCTTTTTTCCTCAACACGAGAATTCTGGGAGGCTAATTTGCATATCCAGAGGTTAGAGGATGGGGGAGGGGGTTGGGAGAGGTTGGAGGGCTGAGGGAGGGAGGGAGGGAGAGGTTTGGAGGGGAAGGGGTGAGGCAGAGGGAGGAGGGCGGTGTTAGAGAGAGAAGGGGTGAGGGAGAATGGATAGAGGGGAGGGAGGAATGAAAGAGGAAGGGGTGAGGTGAGAGGGATGGGTTGGGGGGGGAAGGATGAAACCAGGATCTTTGAGGGTTTAATAGTATGTTGTTTTTTACTTAATGTTGAGGGAAATAAAGCAATTACAGGTGCCAGAGATTGTATTGTTGTTGTTGCTGAGGGGGCGAGAGACAAGGTTGTTTGTTCCCTTCTCTTGTTCACTCTAGGTGTGTTGGGGCTGTGTTGGGGATGTGTTGGGGCTGTGTTGGGGATATGTTGGGGCTGTAATTTGGGGATATGTTGGAGCTGTGTTGGGGCTGCTATATTGGGGATAATGTTGGGGCTGTGTATTAGGGGATATGCTGTGGAGCTGTGTACAGTAAACTGTGATGCTCTGTGTTAGGGCGTTGGAGTGTGTGTGTGTGTGTGTGTGTGTGTGTGTGTGTGTGTGTGTGTGTGTGTGTGTGTGTGTGTGTGTGTGTGTGTGTGTTCCTTTGGTCTCTCTCTGTGCGTCATGACATTTACCTTCATTCGTTTTATTTGGATTCTGTTTCGTGTTGTGCACTTTTTCTTCCCACCACTCTCTCTCTCTCTCTCTCTCTCTCTCTCTCTCTCTCTCTCTCTCTCTCTCTCTCTCTCTCCACCATGAGTGAGTGAGTTTCATAGTTATGTTATGTTTCACCTCCGGCTCTTTTGTACTAGTTTACGACCCCTTCCTACCTGTGTGTACCTGGTGAGCTGTGTATCTCTCTGTCTTATACCTGGTGAGCCATGTCTGTCTGTCTGTCTGTCTGTCCTATACCTGGTGAGCAATGTCTGTCTGTCTGTTTTATACCTGGTGAGTTATATCTGTCTGTCTGTCTGTCCTATACCTGGTGAGCAATGTCTGTCTGTCTGTCCTATACCTGGTGAGCAATGTCTGTCTGTCTGCCTGTCACTGTCACTTGACCTGAGTTTTCTATACGGTATTAACCAACCCACACACAACACGACTCACCCCAGCTGACTCTTTTAAAACCATCAAGTTTGGTCCAACCTGAAACCTCCAACTTCAATAGGATTTTCCCTTCAAGTGACATTAAGTGATAAATTGAGTCTCACTTGTATTCGCTGTTAATAAGATTTTGTGTTTGACGTAATTAAATCTAGTATATTAATCCTCCGAGTGAGTTTTGTTATACACTATGTTGATGAAGGTATGCAAATAATATACCTAGAGAGTACAGGTATAAAAACAATATATACAGTACAGGTATACAAACAATATATACAGTACAGGTATACAAACAATGTACATAAACAGTACAGGTATACACACACAATATACACAGACGGTAGAGGTACAGTATACACTCAGAGTATTGGACATATTAGTGAAGGAGAGAACACGAGAGAAAGTGACTTATTGATAAATCCCACTTAGGACTGAGTAGAGACAGGTGTTAGGCCTTGTCTGTGGTGGCAGCCAGGTGAGGCGCCCCGAATGACTTGCTAACACCTCACATATACAAACACTGCTGACACCTACAACTACAAACACACCTGGCACTACACCTGATGAACGTAAACAAACACAGCTGATAAATGTAAACAAACACAGCTGATGAACGTAAACAAACACAGCTGATGAACGTAAACAAACACAGCTGATAAATGTAAACAAACACAGCTGATGAACGTAAACAAACACAGCTGATGAACATAAACAAACACAGCTGATAAACATAAACAAACACAGCTGATAAACATAAACAAACACAGCTGATGAACGTAAACAAACACAGCTGATGAACGTAAACAAACACAGCTGATGAACATAAACAAACACAGCTGATAAACATAAACAAACACAGCTGATGAACGCAGCAAACACAGCTGATAAGCATAAACAAACACAGCTGATAAACGCCAAGCAAACACGGCTGATAAGCGTAAACAAACACAGCTGATAAACGCAAACAAACACAGCTGATAAAGCATAAACAAACACAGCTGATAAACGTAAACAAACACGGCTGATAAACGCAAGCATTGGCTGATGAACGTAAACAAACACAGCTGATGAACATAAACAAAACACAGCTGATAAACATAAACAAACACAGCTGATAAACGTAAACAAACACAGCTGATAAACATAAACAAACACAGCTGATAAACATAAACAAACACAGCTGATAAACGTAAACAAACACAGCTGATAAACGTAAACAAACACAGCTGATAAACATAAACAAACACAGCTGATAAACATAAACAAACACAGCTGATGAACGTAAACAAACACAGCTGATGAACGTAAACAAACACAGCTGATAAACATAAACAAACACAGCTGATAAACATAAACAAACACAGCTGATAAACATAAACAAACACAGCTGATAAACATAAACAAACACAGCTGATAATCATAAACAAACACAGCTGATGAACATAAACAAACACAGCTGATGAACGTAAACAAACACAGCTGATGAACGTAAACAAACACAGCTGATGAACGTAAACAAACACAGCTGATAAACATAAACAAACACAGCTGATGCCTACCACATGTTATCTATCCTCGCGTCTATACTGAGACAGATAAGGGGATACAAAAACAGTAATAAAAGAGAAGTAATAAAAATGAATAAAATATTAACAAAGACATAAAGAGATACTGTAAATATCAAAGGCAACAAGACATCATAGACACATAACTACGTCATCATCTCCCTAATTTGCATATGTGGTTTAGAGTGAGATTTTGAAAGGAGAAAAAAAATCACATTAATTTTACGAAGATTTTTATGATTTTTTTTTGTGTGTTTATAATTGAGTCGTTATAGGTTAGGGTAGGTTAGGGTTGGTTAGGTTAGGGTTGGTTAGGTTAGGGTTGGTTAGGTTAGGGTTGGTTAGGGTTGGTTAGGTTAGGGTTGGTTAGGTTAGATTAGGTTAGGTTAGATTAGGTTAGGGTAGGTTAGGGTTGCTTAGGTTAGGGTTGGTTAGGTTAGGTCAGATTAGGTTAGGGTTGGTTAGGTTAGGTTAGGTTAGGGTAGGTTAGGTTAGTGTTGCTTAGGTTAGGGTTGGTTAGGTTTGGGTAGGTTAGGTTAGGGTTGCTTAGGTTAGGGTTGGTTAGCTTAGGTTAGGGTAGGTTAGGGTTGGCTAGGTTAGGTTAGGTTCATATATATTTACATGATTAATTTCAGATTATCTTCACTATACACAATGTACAGTTAATGTCTTCTAATGTCTACAGTTGGCTCATTCACCTCTGTATACTGTCCTATTAATAACATCAATAACAAAAACAATAATAACAACAGAAATAACAATAATAACAACAACAATAAAATAACACCAATGACAACAACAGCAACAACAACAATAACAATAATAATAACAACAATAATAATAACAATAACAAGAATAATAACAACACAAACAACAACAACAACAATAATAATAATAATAATAATAATAATAATAATAATAATAATAATAATAATAATAATAATAATAATAATAATAATAATAAAACAAAAATAACAAGAAATTCCTACCAAGACTTTCATGTGTCTCTATACTGTGTTAGTTCAACTTATCGTCAATAATTCCTGACGGGAGGGAGTATTGACCACTACACACATCACACCATAACCACACCAAGACGATTTGTTGATAAATAGGGCAACTTTAACCAAGAAACAGTCTCTCTCTCTCTCTCTCTCTCTCTCTCTCTCTCTTAGATATATGATGAAGTCCTTATCTCCGGCGGTAACTGAAATAGCTGATGTTTTGTGAGTTGATTAGCTAATTTTCCGAGTAAATGATGTAGGCTTTGTGGAGGTGGGCCAAGGCATCGGGTGTACCATCTGTCTGTCTGTCTGTCTGTCTGTCTGTCTGTCTGTCTGTCTGTCTCGAGTGGAACAAACCTTTAAGTAAACGCCACCACTGACACACTCTTTGACTCACCTGTCTACTACTGGGCGCTTATCTTGTTACCTGTGATGACGAACTCAGGTGAATGTTCTGTATATATATATAGCGTACCTCTCATGATAGGTTAGGTTAGGTTAGGGTTGGAATCGGTTAGGTTAGGTTTCGGTACATTAGGAGGCAGTGTGACCAGCATTACACTCGCCCGCATCATCCCCCCAGTACAGTCAACAGTAGAAGTTCGTCCCGGTCAACCTGCATGGGATGAGGCAGGTGATTCTGGTTCATAGTCACGGGTGGGTGGACTAAGGGAGCCCCGAGCGGGAACCAGTGAACCTTAGGACACGAGGCGAGAGCTGTATCCACTGGGCCGCCGCTCACCTGAATAACATGTTACCAAGCGCAAAAAATTATTTAATATACTACAATAAAGCAAAACGTGTATTCAAACAATAGAGGAAAAAACTATGACAATATGTGTTAAAACAATATCACAGTAAAAGAAACAGATACAATTTATTACGACATAAACTAATTGTTGAATGCTGTTGTGAAATATATTCTAATGAAACAAACATTTATATTTAACTTAATATTACGTTAGTTTCTGTAGTTGTCATCATTATATTGGTGTTTATTGTAACACACACACACACACACACACACACACACAGGTATATCTTATAATAGTCTATCTTTCTCACACCTTCCAATGTTTACCTGTGTGGCGGTGATCAGAATCATGACCGACTCGCCATCAGCGGCTGTCATTCATTCTCTCTACCTGTTATAATTCAGGTGTTCCTCAGCGGTACTCCTAAGATATCTATTTATGGTCACTGCAGTCATTCATACCACCAGCCATCACCACCACGTCCATCACCG